TCGTGGCCTTTGCCACCTCATCGGGGCTCTCAACGCATGTCATCCCGCCTAAACTCTCGACGTATGAAGGGCACCTTAGCTACAACTGATCACTCGACGCCTGCAACCGATTCCCGACATGGAGGCCTCGGCGCTTGTCGTCCAAAAGAGCAGTCAATTCCTCAACCGTGGTGTAACAATATATATATACATATATATATATATTAAAAGAACACTCTAGCCACGTGTGACGATATTCAAATGTCATGTTATTTCACTCTAAGTTTTGTAGAGTTCATTCTCAAAAAAAAAAAAAAAGTCGTAGATCTGAACAAGGGCAGCCATGGGAAACTGCTGAAGCTCCCCTAACAAGATCATAATCCAACCTAGCTCCTCTCAGCACGATCCCGTCATCATTTCCCCCTGCGTTGTGCCGAGCCCAATCCATTCACCCCCGAAAATTTCCTTTTGCCGCCCGAATTTCTTTCGGCAAACCATTCTCTCCCATTGCAGAGAGAGATCATCTGCAAGCCCTCCTTGTTTGAGCTCCCTCCCATTGATATCAAATAAAACGACCCTTGCTCAACGAATTTGAATCCTACAGCGAACATTCAGATTTTCTCCCATTTGAGGTCAAATTCGATTCTACTCAAAAAAGCTTCAAAATCTGCCACCAACAGTTAGGTCCGCCCTCTATTGCCCAGATCCATCCGTCCAATATCCGCCCAACCTTGGCGACATCATCGCAGCCTCACCTCAACCACCACGGTGTGAGCCATCCTCACCGGGTATCATTTTGTTTTTGTTTTTTTTTTTTAGTTCACTTTTTTGGTTTTTTTTTTCTAATTTAAATTTTGTAAAAATATAAATTATGTGATCACATGCCCAATGAAACCACGTCATGTGCCATTTTCCATCAAGTTTTTAACGGATTTGGACGGAGCTCATCAATTGTCAATGATTTAAGAGTCAAGGAATTTTTTTCGCCAAAATTAAAAAAAGATGGACTAAAGTATCACTTATTAAAGAGTTAAGGAACCATATGTGCAAATTACTAAAAGAAATTAAGAAAGCTACAATAGAGCATGAAAAACTCCCGGTTCTATTTAAACCGCTCAATTTGTATCGAATTTATTTTGTATTTTTTTATTTTAATGTAAATTTTATAAGATTTAACATTTAGAAAAATACACTATTGGTTTACCAACATGCGCTATTGGTTTACCCCTAGGGGAACCCAAAACATCTTGTTTGCACCATATATTTTACAAATTAATATGAGAAAAGAAAAAGAAAAAAAAAACCTAAAGTACGGAGAAGCTTCATGGCCTGGAAGTAGTGTAGGGTGTAGGCTTGCAAAGCATAGTGTCACAACCCGCAAATTCTTGCCCCATTTTAAGTGTTAGAGGTTTGCAAGAAGACTTTAGGATTCTCTAGAATGTTCTACAATTGTCTACCATATGGAATATTCTAGATAATCCTAGAGAAGTATAGACTATGGAATTATCTAAAATACTCTACAATTATCTACATATGGATTGTTTGAGAAAATTTCAGAGGAGTCTAGTCTTTGGGGGAGCCTTAAAGTTCTCTAGAACCTTGTAAATGGTTCCATAGAGTAGTCCTTTGTGGAAGACTCTAGAAACTTATAGAGTGCCCACACTTTATAAGCATTCTCTAGAAGGTTCTAGGATAGGTGCAAATCCTTAGCATTTTAGAATGTTCATGGGAGGGTCCCCTTGGCTTATAAATAGGGGTGGTCCCTTCATTTGTGAGGGGGGGGGGGGGAACCAAAAATATTGGAGTGTAAACAATTGTAAAGGTTTATCATACTTAGTGAAGCTCTTTTTACTTTTCTCCCTTTCTCGTGTGTTCCTAATCTCATTTCTCTACTTTCACTTTATTAACCTTGCGTTTGCGTGAAGTTAGGCTTGTTAGCATAGCCCGGGAGTGCTAACGCCGCACGGTTACCTTGTAAGAAGAAAAAGTCCGTGACAGTTGGTATCAGAACCACAACCTGGACATGGGGAAGAACGCCAAGAATCAAATTATTGGCTCATTGGATGTAGAGTTCACGCGGGAACAACGAGGTCGCGAGGAGACGGTCGACCCTACTGCCGCAAGACGACGGGGTAGGTCCAAGGATCTCATTTCTAGCTTTGAGTCACGCATGACCCACGTGGAGGAAGGAGTGGCTGGCGTAGGTGCCCAGGTGGACGACCTTTACCAGAGGGTAGAAGGCCTTGAGGCGGAGGATGTCGAGATCCACACTGCAGTGAAGGCCATGATGGTCCAACTAGAGGAGACCATGCGAGCAGAGATGGGGGAGATGCGCGACCAGCTCATAGGGGAGCTTTCCAAGGTGCGTGATGTAATCCAGCGCGAGATCAACAACAGCTTAGCCCAGTTTGAGGCATTACAGGGCGACGTTGCACTTTGCAAGCGCGCCTTGGCAGCTGGGCCAAGTATCGTGGTTGAGGCTAAGAAGGTCGAGGTGCCGAAGCCAAAGACCTTTGCAGGATCACGCAGCACGAAGGAAGTGGATAACTTCTTGTGGGGGCTAGAACAATATTTTGGAGCTATCGGCGTCATGGAGCAAGCCTCCAAGATCCAGACCGCAGCTCTGTATTTCACCGACACCGCCATGCTGTGGTGGAGGAAAAGGCGTGGAGACACCGAGAGAGGTATGTGCACCATCTCTACTTTTGATGACTTTAAAACGTAGCTCAAACGGCAATTCTATCCTGAGAATGCCGAGGATGAGGCAAGAGCCCGCTTGCGAAGGCTGAAACAGTCGGGGAGCATTCGCGACTACATCAAGGACTTCACCAACCTAGTGCTTGAGATCCCTGACCTATCCGACAAGAACTCGCTCTTCAATTTCACGGATGGACTTCAACCATGGGCCAAGACCGAGCTAAGGCGTCGTGGGGTGCAAGACCTTGCCACTGCCATAGCCGTAGCCGAGAGCCTTATCGACTACAGTAGCCAGAAAGAGTCTACCAACAAGCCAAAGGACAAGAAAGATGGTGAAGCCAAAGGTGGGGGAGACAGAGGCCAACACAAGGAAGGCAACTACGAGCTGAACACGTCCAAGAACAAGGACTCATCCTCATGGAAAGCCAAGGATACGGGTAAGCAGAGGGAACATCGTGGCTCAAGAAGGCAGCCGCCCAACAAGTGTTTCATCTGTGATGGAGACCATTAGATGCAAGACTGCCCACAACGACAAGCCCTTAACTCGCTCCTAGCAAAGCATCAAGAGGAGAAAGGCACCGCTGGAAGTGACGAGAGTGCACACATTGGGTCCATGCAACTGCTTAACGTTATCCAGTTCGCCCCAAAGACCGAAGCCAAGGGGTTGCTCTATGTTGACGTGACCATCAACGGGAAGGCAACAAAAGCCATGTTCGACACAGGTGCGTCTCACAACTTTGTTTCTGTTAATGAAGCAAGCCGGCTAGGTCTCAAGGCAACAGGTGGAGGAGGATCCATCAAGGCAGTTAACTCAGCAGCGCGGCCCATTCATGGCATAGCCCGAGGGGTCAAGACCAGTGTTGGCACATGGTCTGGCCATATGGATTTCTCGGTGGTTCCAATGGACGACTTCAGGCTTATCTTGGGATTAGAGTTCCTTGATCAAGTCAAGGCAATCCCAATGCCATTTGCCAACAGTATGTGCATCACGGATGGCGACAAGGCTTGCGTGGTACTGACGGCCAGGGCCACCAAGCAAGAAACAAAGGTGCTTTCAGCATTACAGTTCAAGAAGGGTGTCAAGAGAATGAAGAAATGGGCAGACAAGAAGCGAAGGCACTTAGAATTCAAAGAAGGCGATCTTGTCATGGTAAAGCTCCTTCCCTAACAATTCAAAACCTTCAGAAAAGTTCGCAATGGCTTGATTAGAAGGTATGAATGTCCCTTTACAGTTCTGAAACGTATTGGGAAGGTCTCTTATAAACTCCAATTGCCTTCCAAACTCAAGATCCATCCAGTCTTTCATATTAGTCTCCTGAAGCCATATCACGAAGACATAGAAGACCCCAGTCGAGGGAAGTCCAAACGAGCACCAACCGCCGCCGTGACATCTTTCGACAAGGAAGTCGAGAGTATACTTGCATATCGACGCATTCGAAGGTGAGGTATGCCAAGCTATCGAGAATACTTAATCAAGTGGAAGAACTTGCCGGAGAGTGAAGCAAGTTGGGAACATGAGGATGCCCTTTGGCAATTTCAAGACCATATTCGGCAATTCCACGAAGAAGACGCGATGAGGGCATCGCGAGCTTAGGTGGGGGAGAATGTCACAACCCGCAAATTCTTGCCCCATTTTAAGTGTTTAGAGGTTTGCAAGAAAACCCTAGGATTCTCTAGAATATTCTACAATTGTCTACCATAGGGAATATTCTAGATAATCCTAGAGAAGTATAGACTATGAAATTATCTAGAACACTCTACAATTATCTACATATGGATTGTTTTAGAAAATTCCAAAGGAGTCTAGTCTTTGGGGGAACCTTAGAGTTCTCTAGAACCTTGTGAATGGTTCCATAGAGTAGTCCTTTGTGGAAGACTCTAGAAACTTATAGAGTGCCCACACTTTGTAAGCATTCTCTATAAGGTTCTAGGATAGGTGGAAATCCTTAGCATTCTAAAATGTTCATTAGAGGGTCCTCTTGGCCTATAAATAGGGGTAGTCCCTTCATTTGTGGGGGAAACTAAAAATATTGGAGTGTAAACAATTGTAAAGGTTTACCATACTTAGTGAAGCTCTTTTCACTTTTCTCCCTTTCTCGTGTGTTCTTACTCTCATTTCTCTACTTTCACTTTATTAGCCTTGCGTTTGCGTGAAGTTAAGCTTGTTAGCATAGCCCGGGAGTGCTAACGCCGCACTATTACCTTGTAAGAAGAAAAGGTCCGTGATAATAGGCTACCCTCAGGGATATAGAGGAGAAGAATAGCCAGCGTTTCCAATCCTTTTCTACGCTATCTTCGCTTAAGAAATTTCTAGTCAGTGCTTCGTGAGTTCATACTTTGATATTTGTAGACACATAGTTATATTCATGTACAATACGTAGTACACACATCTTTCTCAGTTTGCCTATACAATATTACACAACGACCAAGAGAGATCAGCTCATTCGCCGTTGTCTTGTCACAAAGAAGAAAACGGAACACAGGCACAACACAACTAGAGAAGTCATTTTGTTCGTTAATTATCACTTGACCTGCCCCTAAACACAAGGAACTGATCTAAGCTGTAAACTGTACAATTTCTCACTTACCGATCTTCTCGCCTAACTGCATTGGGATCAGACATCATGTCCATCATCATTTTCTCAGGTGAATCCTCCCAATTTGCAAACGTTTTCAAGTCAACCTGCGAAAGAGACCAATGTAAAATTAACTCTTATAGCTGTAGAATTGAAGAATTGAGGTCACTCTAATACTTCGACTTGATACAAGTAGGATACCTTTCGTCTCTGCTCAGTGAAAAGCTCTTCTCGCTTCTTGAACTTATCTTGCAGTTCCTTGGCTCCTCTCCCACCAAGTCCCCAAACTTCCACTTCCAATATCAAAGCTTCAACTGGTAAAAACCCCTGAAATTCATCAATTCATAACTTTGAGATTGCATTGGAAAACCTTACACGATTGTGACTTTAGACATGGACCCCACATAGAGCACGTAGCAGTCACGTGAGCTTGTTTTGACTCTTTTAATAGAATGTAACATTACTATTATACCTGATCCGGGAAGAGGAAACCAGATTGGTAAGTTTTGTCAACTGCATGATGGCGAACGGTAAGTTTAGCAAAATCTTCTTCAACAAACACTCTCTCGTTTCCCATAGTTCCTCCAAACGCAATGCCCGCAGGCTTTGGGTGTGCTTCATATAATCTACCAGTAGGATGCAAGTGGCTATAAACAAAGTTCTTCTCTTTTCCTGTCATAATTTGCCCTTATTCAATAAGTTCATAAAAATTTGAATCATAAGAAACAGAAGACTGAAGAATCCCTAATTCTCCCCCGTGTTACATACCGGTAGGTGAGTACGCATGAAAGACTGGACATATCGCATATAGATTTCCTAAATTTCCATAAAACACATCCTTGTTTTCAAAACCTTGGTGAGTAAGTGCACCTATTACCCATTTGCTTTCAATGGTACTACCCTCATGACCAGCTTGAGATGTTGCAGATATCAACATAAGCAAAGGACCTTGATAACCCTCAACATTAGACCAGAGCCGGTTCAACCCTCTTCCGTGAAGAGATGACCTAGAAAGCGGCATAAATTAGACGTTAAAAAAGGAAATGATGGAACTGAACGAGGAGAACATAGAATGAGATATAACAAAGTCATAAAATATTCAACAAGCATCAAAAGAGACAATGAAAAACCTGTAAAGAAGGTTTTCATCTGCTCCATCAGTGTTGCTAGAAAAGCATACTCTTGATAGTTCTTCACTTATCGTGCTTCTCATGGTAAGGGAAACGGCCCATGCATTTCCACGGGTCAAAAGATAAGAACTGCACGCATGGGCTGAGGAAATATCTCCTTCTCCTGGGCATACGGAACCCACATTACCCTGCAGATTAAATGGACTTCATGAAAATATAGACTTATCCCAGTTCCTTAACATTTTTTTTCCAAAGCAACTAAAAATTGCCTCAAACCCAAAAACAACTAAAAGTGAAATCACTTCATATAATTCACATATCCAAACTCATAGATAAAATGCAAGATCCAATGTCCAGCTTGAGTTTATGTTATCAATGAATCATCCAATGGTTCCTTAAAATGCAGAATGAGCAAACGCTAACATGTTGATGAAGCATGAGATAAATTGAAAGCTGAAATCCGAATTTACTATGTTATTACCTCTTCAGTGGCAGAGGCACACCTCTGGATTCTTGAATGGGCGTATTGAGAAAAGCAATCTGAGAGGCGTGGCAAAGTTTGCAAGGCCCAAGTAAGAAACGTCCCAACAGGAAGTTTTACTTCCAACCCTGAGACGTTGCAATCCCACGCATTCACACCGTTACCAAGTTCACCACATGATGTTACAGCCGACATTACAAGATGATTCACATCCGGAAGGCATAAATTTGCTCTCCTTTTCGAAAATTTCTCGCTTTCAAAATCCCATAACAAGGTCCAACACAGCCAAAGAAGCATAAGCACATCAGTGGGAAGAAGGAACCCGCTTATCTTACAATCAGAATCATCATCACATTCGAATTCCAAGTTCAAAGAAAGACCAGCTTTCTTCATAGTAACAGCAAATAATCTCAGCAACGTAATGAGCGACACAGACGAAGGCATCCTTCCGCAGCACTTGTTATAGCCTCTCGCGAAATCTACCCAGCTCACTCCCCCTTTCCCAGCCGCGAAGAAGAGGTCCGCCATTGACGAACCAAAATGATCCAAAAGCCTTAGAAACGCATCAGGCATAGACGGCGCTTCGCAAATCGGGTTCTTGTAAGTTAAACTGAAGCATTTCTGAACATAAATTGACGAAAACAAAACCTCAAAAACGATCGATTTATGCACAAATTCGTGGCCATCGTAATCAATAAAAAAAGTTAGGGTTTTGATTAGAATACCTTGAGAGATTCGAGGGGAATTGCAACGGAATGGGGATCGGCGAGGACGGAGAAGGATTTCTGAAGCAGATGAAGAGCTCCCGAAGAAGCGGCTAAGGATTCAGCCTCGCGTTGTTCGATCGAAGAATTGTGGTCCGTGGATGTTGAGGCACCCATTGCCGTTGCTGGGATTGTTCTGCGATGAACAAATCTGGTTTCGTTTTTTGTTTTGCGTCGATCCTTAACGAAATTGCGGGAATTTTCGAATCCCTGCTCTGTTTGTTCGACTTTTGGACGACTGCAAGAGGCAAGAGGCAAGAGGCAAGAACCAAAATAACAGAGCAAAATACACGTCTCACCCAAAAGAAGACGGGCACCCTTTCAAGGAATAGAAAAACGACGTGGTTTATTTATGTGAGCCTAACACATGCAACTCGCAACACCATTTATTTATTTTTTTTTATTTTTTTATAATTGTCGCAACACCATTTGTTGTTTATACTAGTTGGAACAGGCGCCTGGCGCGTGTAATCAATTAACCATTAGTTATTTAGGGGTTGTTTTTTTAGACGAAACTCAACAAAAAATTTAAACTCGAATTAATTTTATTTAAGTTTATATTTTTTTATAAAATTTGAGTCTAAATTTGAGTTTGAGATTAAAGTCGAGTTTAAGTTTCTCTTTTAATTTGAGTTCATAAACTTAAATTTAAATTAATAAATAATATTTTTTATATTTTTAAAAATGTCATAACTTTTTCGTTTTAATTATTATTGAGATAATTTTTTTTCTATGCATTCACAATAAAAAGACAAATAAAACCCCATCCATATACCCTATTAAATTTTTTATCACCATTAAGTTTTTATTAAAATACTATCTAAATATAAATTTAAGTTTTGATCCACCCAAACACAAACTCAAAAAGATTCTCAATTTAAATCATAATTCAAATGTGCACATCCAAACACAAACTCAAGTTACAACTTCAACTCAAGTTATAATTCGAACTCAACTCAAGATCATCACTCAAGTCACCATAACTCAAAAATGTAAAAGAACAACCCCTTAGTTACTATTTTTTTAGAGATATTTACGCCACGAGTCCCTAAACTTTATAAACTTTGCATTTATTTTTCCATTTTAAGAATTTAAACATTGTAGTGAGAAAATGGTAATGGTAATAGGAACAAGAATAGTAATGATAATGGAATAAAAAAGAAAATTTATTTATTTCTTTGATTGTAATTTTAGAAATAATATAAAATACAACATGAATATTTTCATGTTGACAAAATTATCCTTATATTATATATAACACTAATATTTTATACATCAATATAATTAATATAATATGTATAAAATGCAATATAATATAATAAAATTATTATAATGTAATAAATTATATAATTATGATATATAATATAATAATATTAAAATAGTTAATATAATTATAATATTATAAAATATATTATAATAAATAATAATATTTCAGTTATAACATAATTAAAAATTACAACTATATCATATTATACTATAATATAATATATATACTTACAATACAATATATAATTATTATTATATAACATATGGTATAGAATATAATAATACTATTAAAATGGTTAATATAATTATAGTATTATAAAACATATTATAATATTATATAAGAAACAATAATGTTTTAATACACTATAATAGACAATAATATTAGAATTATAAATTATAATAATATTTAATTATATTAATTATTATATTTTTATTTATATAATAAAAATAGTTATATTAATATAATATAATATAAATAATAAGATCATATTATATAATAAATTAATAATATTAAAATTATTAATATAATTATGATATTATTTGTTACAATATTACAACTATATTGTATTATTATATTATATTTTAATACAATTATATATATTATATTATACAATATAATTACGTTATAATACATAATATATTATTATATAATATTAAATAAATATATTATCATTTATAACTATATTTTAAATTATATCATATTATTATATTATCACATATTATTATTTTATTTTATTATTTTATTATCTTATTATTATAACTATATTATATTATAGGTAAAGTCTATGGTCAGACACTTTTCAGTTGTACAATTTAGAGATTTTTTGTACATTTACATATGAAAGTTGTACAATTCAGTATAAGTCTTGTATATTTACATGTAAAGATGTATAAGTTGTACAATTCATCATACGTCTTGTATATTTATGTCACGCCCCCCAAACGGGGTGGGTGACGTGGAGCTCGATTAGGGATTAATAAAGCAGATTCTCAACGGGGCCCCACACTTGACTACATTAAAATATAAATAAATAACAGAATCTCGGAGCCTCTAACACACAGAGCTCCACCCCATAGGACATACAGTATCATACATACATGCTCATGTAAATAATCATTACAACAGACGTCAACCACAGTCTAGTAAATCCAAATATTACATAAGTTTACAGAATTTCTCAAATTCCTTACATTTGTCCAAGAGGATGTCCACGATCCTCACTTGATTCCAACAGCAGCACAACCCAGCTACTCCGTAGCAAATATCCAGCTACTGTGCACCACTCCTAGAATCTCCTGTGAGGGGTTTAGTACATTTAAAATATAAAACGTGAACGAAAGGCCCAGTAGGATATAATTGGAAATAAACGTTATAAATAAATGAATAATAAATGTGCAAGGGAATACATAAATGAATAAGTAAATAAAATAAGACGTTCAGTCCTGACAGAACAGCCGAAACCTCGTATCCTTTTTCTCAAAGGAAATGTAACTGTAAATAACCGTTTTACAGGCTTCAGTAAGTAATTAGTACAAATTACTTACCTAACCAAGTGCCTCGCCTACCCGGACCGAGTTTC